GGTTGCGGACTTTTGGTGACAGAGCCTTCAGTGTGGCATCCCCCACCCTCTGGAACTCTCTCCCCCCCGAAATCCGCAGCGCCCCAACCCTGGACATTTTCAAAAAAGCCCTCAAAACGCACCTTTTTACCAAGGCTTTCGCCACTGTATAGTTAGTTTAATAGGTTTATTTTTCCGCTACTCCCCCCCCCCCTACCCGACTGGTAAAGCGACCTTGGGTTTCCTGAAAGGCGCTATAAAAATATTATATATTATTATTATTATTATTATTATGTTGTAGAAAGAGTGTATCTGCAGCAGCAGGTTGTTGCAGCGATGTTTGCAGTGAAGGACAGTTTGTTACCTAGGGTCACACCCAGATTCCTTGCAGTTTGAGTTGGGGAAACAATAGAGGTGCCAATGTTGATTGTTAGGTCAAAAGTGGGACAATCTTTTCCCAGAAGGAAAAGCAGTTCAGTCTTGTCAAGGTTGAGCTTGAGGTGGTGAGCAGACATCCACCGAGAGATGTCAGCTAGACAAGCAGAGATGCGTGCGACGACCTGGGTCTCTGAGCGGGGAAAGGACAGAATTAATTGGGTGTCGTCAGCGTAGCAATGGTATGAAAAACCATGCGGGCTAATGACAGATCTGAGCGAGTTTGTGTACAGGGAGAAGAGGAGGGGGCCGAGAACAGAGCCCTGAGGGACCCCTGTAGTTAATTGACAAGGGTCGGACTCCGACCCTCTCCAAGTTACCCTGTATGTGCGGTCTTTGAGGTATGAGGTGAGGAGGGAAAGTGCAGAGCCTGAAACTCCAAGTTGTTGGAGAGTGCGAAGGAGGATCTGATTATTCACCATGTCGAATGCAGCAGACAGGTCCAGAAGGATGATGACAGAGGAGAGGGAGGCTGCTTTCATGGTTTTGCTAATCACGATATACTTTCTTGTGTGCACGAGTCTAATGAAGGTAAACACATCGAAGGCTGTGTCTAAAAGGCACAGCTCCACTTCCTACTTGGCGAACCTGTAACTTTCTTGTGTGCACGAGAAAGTTACAGGTTCGCCAAGTAGGAAGTGGAGCTGTGCCTTTTACACACAGCCTTCGATGTGTTTACCTTCATTAGACAGCTAAAGATCAACTGCAGGCTGCTTCGTTTTAAACACACACACACACATCAAACTGCCCGATTATTCCCCCTATTACTCGTTTTATGAAGGAGATGTGCGGTCCACAAGGCGCATGACGTGTGTTTGTGCTGTGCTCAGCTCCGCTCTGTGTGTGTGTGTTTGGTGTGTTTGTGAATGTCCGACACCGGCATTTGTTTTCAAATTACCATGAACAGTAATTTACACACATCTGGCCAACTCCATAGTTATATGTGTGTTCCCAAATGAAATAAATGTGTTTAATCTTAACCTCGATGTAGTGCTCAGTACTGTCGGAGTGCAGGGGAACACTGCGGTCAACTCAGCCGTCTCTCGCGTTTGCTAGTCAAATCAGCAGCTCTCCATTTGTGAGTGTGCGATTAATTGGCCTAAACGGTAATTGGCCAAGAAGCGGCACTGATGCTAGTACAATAGTAAAATAATGCATGTTTTTGTGCTATATTTGCGATAAAAATACGTTTTACCTTAAAGGTGGGGTAGGTAAGTTTGAGAAACCAGCTCGAGTTCGCTAGAATTTGAAAATACACAACCGGAGAAAATCTGTCACTTCCTTATAGAGCCCCTCCTCCAACACACACGAACGCGCACATGACCAATGAGGGCACGAGATAAGTTTGTGCACAGATGGAAAGCTGACAGGCAGGTAGGCCATCCAGTTATTTGAGCCAGGCCGGCTAAAATAATTGGTCGTGCTTTTTACAGTATTACGGCTTCCACAGATGACATTTTTCTATGGATTTTTTGTCAAAGCACTTAAGATACTCATTGCTATCGGGATGTTAAGAGCATTCCATGGAATATAACAAAAAGTGTATCTCGAGCCGGTTTCTCAAACTTACCTACCCCACCTTTAAGTTCTTAATAAAACTGACACTGTTGGACTCAGTACTTGTTTGACTGCTACCAACAATAAAATGAAGTACTTTTACTGTGTACTTTTTCAGTTATTCTCTGTCAAACTCCAATCCTGAGAACAAATTCAAGCCACTTCTGCTATATTTGATGAGGGATAAAAAGATGTTTAGCCCTAAGTTCTTAATAAAATTGGTACTGTTGGACTCAGTACTTGTTAGACTACCAAAATATAATGAAGTACTTTTACCGTGTACTTTTTGAGTAATACTCTGTTAAACTCCCCTCCTGAGTACAATCATTCATGTATTTTGCTATATTTGTTGAGGGATAAAATGATTTGTTACCATAAGTTCTACATGAAATTGATACTGTTGGACTCAGTAGGCCTACTTGGACTACTAGCACAAGTATAATCAAGTATTTTTACTCTGTACTTTTTGAGTAATACTTGGTTAAACTCCTGTCCGGAGTACAATAATTCATCAATTTCATCAATTTCATGTGGAACTTTTTGCAAAAAATCATTTTATCGCTCATCAAATATACCTGAATACATGAATTATTGTACTCAGGACGGGGTTTGAGTATTACTCAAAAAGTACACAGTAAAAGTACCTCATTGTATTTGTGGTAGTAGTCTAACAAGTACTGAGTCCAACAGTACCAATTTTATTAAGAACTTATGGTACAAATTATTTGTATCGCAAATCAAGCAGAAAAAACATTATTATTATTAACATTAAGCATTATTTTATTCTTGTACTAGCGTCAGTGCCGCTTCTCGGCGGTTACCGTAAAGGCGCGAATAAAGGTGGGGTAGGTCATTTTGGAGAAACCAGCTCGAGTGCGCTAGAATTTGAAAATACACAGCCGGAAGAAATATGTTACTTCCTTACAGAGCCCCTCCTCCAACACATACGAACGCGCACATGACCAATGAGGGCACGAGATAAGTTTGTGCTCAGACCATCCAGTTATTTTAGCCGGGCCGGCTAAAATGATTGGTCGTGCTTTTTACAGTACTACGGCTTCCACAGATCACATGGATGTTTTTATGGATGTTTTGGAATATAACAAAAAGCGTATCTCGAGCCGGTTTCTCAAACTTACCTACCCCACATTTAATTGCGCACTCAAAAATGAAGAGCTGCTGATTTGACCAAGCAAACGCGAGAGACGGCTGAGTTGACCGCATTACCGGAACGGACGACAGTATCTTAATATCTTATGAAAATAAATGCGAGTGTCACACACACACACACACACACACACACACACACACACACACACACACACACACACACACACACACACACACACACACACACACACACACACACACACACACACACACACACACACACACACACACACACACACACACACACACACACACACACACACAGAGGAGATGGCGTGTATCGTGATGAGCAAGACCATGACACTTGGCCCAGGTGGTTTCCATAGAACGGACAAAACATGTTTAACGACCATAAACACACTCGTACCGTCCATAGGTACCGGGCGGTCGATCAGCCAAAACAAACTTAAGTTTGTGTCAATCACTTGCATGTCACTTGTTAAAGTGTTTCGGCAAATATCAAAGTGTTTCGGGAAATGTTAAAGTGTTTCGACACTTGTACATTTGTTTTATAGAATATAATTTTATTTTTATCAAATCAAAATGTGTCTGATTGATTGATTGATTGATTGAAAAGTTTATTAACAGCTTGTATATTGGGTACAGTACAGTACAGCTCAAAACATACAATTGTTAAGGGGATGCAGACCAGAGAAAGACTTTCGTCTTGTTTACATCAGGGTCCCCCATTTCCAATTCATCATGTCATTTAAGACATATAAGACATATTTGACATACAGATGGCTTATTTACAATTTACATACAGGTGGGTTTTTTACATACAGATTGCTTATTTACCATTTTAGATTTCGTTCTAATACATCCTAACCGGACATTAAAGACATACCAAGTCTACAGATATACAGTTAGTAACAGAGTCTAAAATGCGAGTATATACATAGATGGGGGGGAAGCTGTCCATTGAACGACAGGTTGAGATTTGTACCATTACCGGGGCCAGTTTTGCAATGCTCTCCCCCGAAGGTGCTCTTTAAGAGAGGTTTTTAAGGTAAGTATAGTTTTACTTTCCTTTACAGTTGTGGGAAGAGCGTTCCACCTTGATGTGGCATAATTGCGAAACGTGTATTCCCCCTTTTTTGTGCCAAATCTGGGTTTCACATGATTTGTGGAGCTCCCTCTGGTGTTATGATCATGGTATTCCTTGACCTTTCCTAGCTTTGTAAAAGTGTTTTGCATCTTGTTAATTTGTTTTTGTTAATGTTACATTGTTTTTTCTTTGGTAAAAGTGTTTCGCTAATGTAATTTTGTTTTATAAAATGTAAATGTGTCTCAAGCTTTGTTAAAGTGTTTCACACTTTGTAATTGTCGATTGCCCTTCTCAGCCACCGTACGTTGTTTAGTCACAAACAAATCACTGAGAAAAATGAATATTAGTAGCTTTTAAATAATAGGAAAATATGGCCCCAAGTGCGTAACTGTCAAGGAAACAGAACGGTGTATAAAGTTCTTGTTTGAGTGAACAACAATGTGGCAGTTTGACTATTTACCCAAAATAGTCGTAAAACAAGTAAAACAAAAGTCTACAAACTGTTTGTCCACACACCTAGATCATTTTAGGCGGGTATAAGCTCTGGCTGAAACAAAGTTAACTTAAACTACTGCCTTTCTCTTACAAACACCATAAATCCTCTCCTAACTTCGAACCAAACAACAAAACATCAACAGTTAGCTAAACAGTACAGTACCTCATAAATTCACCCATGTTTAACGGTCACTCCCCCTTATTTCCCTCCTTCCTCAACGACGTGCTTGGCCGTTATTGCCACCACTCCTAATATGGGCATAGCATTTGACAAAAGTACCACCCACTTTTGATCTGTGCCATTCTGATTGGGGGAGAGGAATATCAATCATCCACTGGAACAAATGCTGTACATGGCCGGCCAAACACTGTCAACAACTGAACTAGCCACTTTTAGGTCGGATTTGAAGCCCACACAGGGTAAGATTACATTTTCACAATATTATGATCGTTCGAGACGTCACATTAAGTAGTTTTGTTCATTACATGTTTGTCTTGTCCCTAACTCGGACTGAGCGACCATGAAATACTGTATTAGCAACACGTCCATCCATCCTTTCAGGCTTGCTAATAAGCTTTGCAGAATCCGATGCAATATGTGCATACAGTAGTGAGCTAACGTTATCATTCATTCATTTATTTATCATTATCTTGTGTACAGCCTTTCAATAAAGCTAGGGATAGCTACTGTAAGGTTAGCTATCTGCCTTTAGCCTGTTACCCTTTTAAGACAACCTCTAACCTTTTGCTGGCACTGCCTCTAAAGTATCTTCTGCTGGTTTCATATTAGACACACAGACCTGTGACTTTATGTGAGGTTAGCTGGAGATTTGATGTATTATATTCATATATTTACACTTGTGTTATCACCAACTGCAAAACTGTTTTGATAATGTTTTACTGAATGTGTGCAGGCTTCTGCTGGAGGTGCTTCGGATGTCCAAGTACAAACTGTTTCTGCTGAGGCATGGGGAGGGGGCCTGGAACAAAGAGAACCGGTTCTGCAGCTGGGTTGACCAGAAGCTGAGTGAGGATGGGCTGAAGGAGGCCCAGGACTGTGGCAGGCTGCTGAAGGAACAGGGCTACAAGTTCGACTTAGTATTCACCTCCTTACTCAGCCGCTCCATCCAGACAGCATGGCTTGTTCTGGAGGCTATGGGTCAGGAGTGGGTTCCTGTGATCAAGTCCTGGAGACTGAATGAGCGGCACTATGGTTCCCTCATTGGCCTGAACCGGGCGGAGATGGCTAAAGAACATGGAGAGGAACAGGTGAAGGTATGGAGAAGAAGCTACAACGTCACTCCACCTCCAATTGAGGAATCCCACCCTTACTTCCTGGAAATCTACAATGACCGCAGATACACCACTTGTGACGTGCCAAAGGAGAACCTTCCCAGGGCAGAGAGCCTGAAGGAGGTGTTGGACCGGCTGCTTCCATACTGGGACAGCACTGTGGTGCCAGAGATAAAGCAAGGCAGGACTGTGCTCATTTCTGCTCATGGAAACAGCTGCAGGGCTCTGCTGAAACACCTGGAAGGTATGCTGCTATTATAAACAATGCTCTCTAAGCGTTTGTGTTGAGTGTGTGCAGTGAATGCATTTAGTTGAATTCCACAACAGTTTCTGGACTCTACAGGCTGCCTTTTTTTAGTTGTCGCTCATTGAATTGTGAAGGGACTTCAATTCCCCAAATGGAAAGTTGAACTTGTGTAAAAAGGCCAGTGAGTTTATATTACATTTGGCTGTGGCTATTAAGTCCATGCTGACCTTTTACCACACCCATAAGCCGCTGAGGCTACAGTACACTCCTTACTTTACTCACATTGACTTTTACTTACTTGTACAGGATATGTATACAAGCTGGAATTGTGCTTTCTTTCATCTGGTAAAGATATCTGGTAACATGGTTTTATTACGGCTTTAATTCATTATTGGCCAGGCATGGGAAGATATAAAAATGTAATTTCACAGTTATCTGGCTGAAAATAATTACATTTCACAATCATCCCCTCGATCATCAAATTATTAAAAACTTTTTTTTTGGCACTAAAATACAATCAAATACCGTTACCTTAGATTTAGTTAAGAAACAAATATTTCTTATTGCATTACACATGTGAAACATTGTGTATATAAGGTCATCATAAAGTATAGGGTCCCTATGCATTTCAAGTATAAATACATTGAATTAATAGCAACATGTTGTAAATCTGTTCTTTCTTACATGAAAATCTTTGTATTTCTTAAATTATATTCAATTTGTAACTAATTTTTTAGGCTTCAATGATTGCTTTTTAGAGAGCTTTTGCAGTCATTTTGATATTCCAGATTATCTGACAATGGAAAATCACAACAATTGATTTGAATTGATCATACCATCCAAAGTTTTGACTTATTTTTCTAGTGTGATATTAATATTCTTCTTCTTACTTCAACAGGTATATCAGATAAAGATATTGCCAGTGTGACTTTACCTACTGGTATACCTGTGCTGCTCGAGCTGGATGAAAACCTGAAGGCTGTGAATCCTCGACAGCTGCTGGGAGATCAAGTGAAGATTCAGGCGGCAATTAAAAAGGTGGAGGACCAGGGGAAAGCTATACCGTCAACTTGAATGCACTGAACTGGCTGCAGCTCTGTTCTGCTCGCCTGTGTGCACTCCTATTAGGTCAACAGGTACTGTGAAAAGACTAAAATAATAATAATATAACATCAGACAATAACAAAAACAACTTTCAAAGGATAGGTGTGAAAATGCTGTACGTGTAATAGTGGCCTGATCTGGGTACAGGTCAGACAGGTACGACAGGAGCAGGAGGAAGTACTGTACTGTGTACTGTAAATGCTTTGATGCTGGGCTGAGTTGTATTGTGTGTACACACTGAATTTAAGCTAGATGTTCCTATGCCTGTATATTGTCCCTGAAGAGGTTATTTATTTATTTGCTTATTGATCTTACCATAAAGATTAATAGTAATTTGGTGAAGCTGAAAAACTTGAACTATATCATATCCAGAAAAATGACTTTCTAAAAAATGCCTTTCTGTTACATTGATAAGCTTTAGGGACATTGACTTGCATTAAAACATTTGCCTTCAGTATTAATGTAATGCTACGAATCAGCTATTGTTCGACACAACTTCTTTTAATAAGGGGATCATACAGGTCTTCTGTTGATATAAGATTTAAAGCACTCTGTTGCCAGATATGACCTCATAGAAATTGAATGCCAGTATCTTATTTCAAAGATTTTGGTTAAAGTGAGCCACAGAAATGCTGAAAATATGCAAAACCACTGAAATCCATTACTGTCCCCCGCATATGAGTTACTTATATTTTTAACTTGCCTACACAGTAAGTTTAAGCTACACAGCTCAAGTTATTTTACTTTGAGGGTTTATAAAGTACAGAAAATAGGCTGAGTTGAAATCACTGGTGCTATTTGGTGTGAAAACTGGAATATGCTTTAGGCTTTTTAAATGTTCATAAATGAATGAATCCCCTTCCAGATTAAATGCAACAAATGTGAATGGTGAGGAGCATTTGTTTGGATACATTTTAAAGATTTGTAATTGTTATATACAGGCACTATTTTGGTTTTAACTTTCAATTATAACTTATTATAATACATTGATGTTCTAATGTGATGTTAACATGTGAAAAACGTTACAAACCCCTCTTGAGTCTGCACATTGTGTTTTATAACATAATATCATTTTTGTCATCTCATGTTACGATGCTACTTCCTTGTTTTGTATCGTGTCTCGTGTCTGTATGTGAAATACACTGTGCATCACTTCTGTTTTTGTTTTCCTGTTATTTTTTGTACACTGGTCTGTAAGGTCAACATGGGAGAAGAGATACGGACATACATTTGTAGATATTAAAAGGATAAAACATGTTATATTTGTAATTTCATGTAAGACAATTGAACGTCTTCCCCGCTGTTCACACCTTACCATGTGAAATTGAAATAAAAGGGAATTCCAATTTTCCTAAAAAGGTTATTGTCTCATTTATAAGCTTAATTTGTATCAGATGGTTTTTGCTTACTCACCAGGAAGGTGTGTTAAATGTTACACTGACATATACAGTAAGTTGTATAGGAGCAATACAATAAATTAGAAAACAAACAACCATGCTGTTTGGGAAGATACAGATATCCCTGCAATTTGCATTGTGGTCGCCTTGTGCCCACTGGAAACAATAAACAGCTGAGTCTGAGGAGTGGCTCCTTATTTCTTAACCATTTCTATAATTTGGCCAAACCAATATTGATGAGCCAGGCAGAAACCATAGGCAGAAACCCTCTAATTGGATGGAAAAGTTCTTAGATGAACACCGAGATCACCACGATTCTCATTCCCATCCGTCTATCTTTCCTGAATTTCCCCAAGGCAATAAATACAATTCCATCCAACTTGTTGTTGAGGCGATGATGTATCCTGATGGACATTAAATGTTGTATTCACATTTCTTAGCAAACCTGCATACACACCAGCAAGGAGGACTAATGAACATCAGCAAGACTAAGGAGCTGGTGGTGGACTTCAGGCGGAGCAGGAAGAGGCCTCTGATCACCATCAGGGGGAAGGATGTGGAGGTGGTGAACAGCTACAAGTACCTGGGAGTGCACTTAAACAATAAACTAGACTGGACAGATAACACCGATGCTCTCTTCAAGAAGGGACAGAGTAAGCTGTTCTTCCTGAGGAGGCTCAGGTCATTCAACGTGTGCACGAGGCTGCTGCAGATGTTCTACCAGTCTGTGGTGGCCAGTGTGCTCTTCTTTGCCGTGGTGTGCTGGGGTGGAAACACAAACACTAGGGACACTGGCAGGCTGAACAAGCTCGTGAGGAAGGCTAGCTCTGTAGTGGGAGTACAACAGGACAATCTGGAGGAGGTGGCAGAGGGGAGGACGAGGAGGAAGCTTGACAGCATCCGAGAGAACCCCTCCCACCCACTCCACGCAGAGCTAGTGAAGATGAAGAGTACGTTCAGCCACAGACTCATCCCTCTACGACAACGCACCAAGCGCCTCGGACAGTCCTTTGTGCATGTAGCCAACAGGCTGCACAATAAGGGGTTAATGATGAAAAATAAATACAATTAAATCACTGGACATAAATATACACTGTTTCCACAACCCATGCTAACATATTATTAGTAGTAGACCAAAAAGGTAGATAGATATGTCACTATGTGTACAGATGTCCATTTTCACTTTTCATTTGTCACTTTAACTTATTCCGTACTTTATAACTTAGATGACCAAATATGTACATATGCTGACAGTTATTTTACAGTTATTTTACTCTTATTTTTACTTATCTCCTCTTTTATTATTATTTGAATTTTTTCTTGATTTTAGATTTTATTAATCTGTGTGAATCTTTGCTGTCCTGTTGTTTCACGCTTACCCTGTTGCTGCTTTGTACAACTGAATTTCCCCTCGGGGATTAATAAAGGTTCATTTTATCTTATCTTGAATAGCTTTGACATTGATGAGGATTTTATATATTAAGGACAATGTTGTCAATGATTCTGAAAACCTGTGAGGTATATGCAGTTATTTAGTGCTACAGATGTTTATGTCCAATCTTTATTTGTCTCTGGCAATTTGTCAGCAGTAGCAAGTAAAACAACAACGCAGGGCAAGAAGTATATATACGACAAAAGGCCCCACAGACATGCACATCATAAAACCCAAAGACTGTATATTATAAAACCACATAAATATAAGAGTCAAATGTAGAAAAGAAACCCCCAAACACAACGTTTATAATTATGTCAAAAAGACTAAGATCAAATCATCAGATTCAGTCAATTGTGTATAAATGAGAGGAATCATTATCATTACATTTTAAAGACATCCCTTAAATGAAACTGTGTACATCCCCCCACGCACGTGCACACACACACACACACACACACACACACACACACACACACACACACACACACACACACACACACACACACACACACACACACACACACACACACACACACACACACACACACACCAGCCCCCAGTGCAGCTGCAGTAGGAGGAGCTGCATGCTGTGCTTATAAACCTCTGGCTGCTCTCCCTCAGCTGATTTCCAGCAGAACAGTCCCTTCGGTCGATCAACCTGGTAAGTGTGATGATGATAATGTGTGATGCAGAAAAAGAGAGTTCATTTTGTTTACTTTGAGTGCCTAACGAATCAGAGATATGTGATGAGAGTTGTGCAGATAATTGCTGTGACTAAAACCTTGACGAGGGAGGTGCATGGCTTGTTAACGACTTTTAAATGTAACTAGCTGGATTATATCAGGAACAGCTGCTCTGAATAAACCTGACAATAAGGAAGGGAACCACTGGGAAACATATTTGACATGGGATTTAAGCTTGATTCAAAGGAAACTCAAGTTGACCTAAGCAGTAAGTAAATAATTCATAAAATCTACATATTGTGAATCTCAAATACATACATCTATTGGAGAACAATTAGAGATGTTAAAGGACTAAAGACAATGTTGAAATGTCTCCTTTATTCAAATGTGTGCACTGGCTTGAGAAACGTCACCATCAGTCATAGAAACAGCTGGCATCATGGCATGAAAATGTTTGTTTGCTGAAAATAGCTATAAACACTGAAGACAAAGCTGTCAATAGTTTTTTTCCTGTATAGTTTACCAAAAATACTGTCCCATGAGAACATTGCAACTGTTCTTTGGATTTAACTCTTTTAACCAAACATTCACAGTCTGGTGCAAAAAATGCCAAACTTGATTGATTGCAATAATATAAATAAATGGAGTGGCATTCAGCTCCTTCGTCAAGAGATTCTTGGGAAATATAAAGCTAGCATCAGTGAGTATATCTCTGAAGAGAGATCAGAATTGGAGGACTGTGTAAACTGAAATATGTTCATGCATTTGGCTGGCATATGCCTCTGCAATCTGTATCCTTGAGGCTCAGCACTTGTATCTGCTCTGTCCAACACAGCAGTAAATACTATAATTTGACCTTCTGATCTCCAGTTTTCTGTTACTCAAACATTGAGCAGACCTCTGGTTGTGGAAAGCTGTTTGGCGTGGTAGACATGCCAAGTCAGACTCCTATTCCTTAGATGGTATTGAAGATAAAGGCCTCAACCTCAGTGTGTGAGTTTATGACCGCAGACTCTTTGGGGACTGGAAATGTGTTTGGGTTTCCAGAGCATCCTCTCCCTTTTTGGGTACATGGAATCAAGATAATTGTTTGTGCCGTGAGAGTGAAAACAACAGATTTCAAGTGTACATAGTAACACACAGCCTTACAACAACAGTACTGACATATTTGACTGTGGATAAGTTATGTTCCCAATTTAAACGGCTGCATCTTGCACACACTAATGTCTGCTTTTTAAACAGTTTGAGTTCAAATGTATTTGTTAAAATTGTCCAGAAGAGGAACAAATAAACATAGATTTGGCTGCTATAATGTTTTTAGTCTGAGTACAATTGAGTCTTTGTGGCTTAAAAGCGTTGTGATTTGATAAAGAGGGGGGCTGTCAGCTCTTTAGTTTTACAGGTGGGACAATCTCAATAGGAGAGGAAATAGTTTTTCCCCAGAGTAAATTACAGGAGGTGAGTGTTAGTGGCTCTGACATTAATGGAGGCATTCATCAGTCTGTCATCAAATCTACATCGATGTGAGGAGAAACAACATTCCTTACATCAACTTGAATGATTTAGAAGTTGTGTTTATTTGTTTAAATGTCAAGCAGTTCCTATTCTACTGTGCAAACCCTATTCTAATACAAAAACCATAGTCACTTTCCTTATATCGACAGTATGGTTCTTTCTGTCTCCCAGTAGCATAATGGAAAAATGATTATTAGAAATCACAATGGAAACAAGTTATTCTTGGATTACCACTTTGTTTAGCAGCAGGTATTTCCTAGAGTAAACCATGCTCACTGTCCGTGGCCTCGCACCTTGCCAAGCAGGGACACTACAACTAACACTGCCTGTGTACTTCCTTAAAAGGAGGCCGAGTACAGCATCTCAGCTGATGGGATGCAGAATAGGGAGTGCACATAGCTGCATCTATTTCCATTGAGTCCCCAGTAGAGGATGTAACTTAGACTTAGACTTAGCTTTGAAATTGGATTAATTTTAGCCCCCTATGGCACTACACTTGATTTCAGACCAGACTCTTAAGTTGGTCTAATTGACAAAATAAAGCAAGCAAGGTACACCTGTCAGCTGTTGATGGACTGGTTGCTTCCTAATACAAAGCTGAGCTGCACAGTGAGTCCTGTTATCTCTGCATAGAGACGATAACGTGCTTCCAAATCTCCACTTTTCCAGTCAATTGGTCATGGACCACAAAACAACACACCCTCTTTTCAAACAAACTGTACACAAACATTGTAATGAGCTGCTGAAAAGGTCACCACTACAGTATGCTGTGGCTTGTAAACTGTGGAATTTGTATCCTGGACAGGGTCTTTTTCATACGTGACCATGTTTGGTCATGTGGAGAAAGCAGCTGTGGCTTTGTGATTGATTGCAAACGCCTCTCAAGAAACTGTTTATCTATTAGTGTGTTGAAGCACTTTCTTTATGTTTCAACAAGAACCTTGTCTGATTTTAGGTAGTATGTCTGACGTGACGACCTACATGTATATTTTGTACCATTAGCTAATGCTGTTATCAGTGCAATAAACAATGTCTTTACAACTAAGCAGTATTACTTCAAAGGTCAAATAATGTACAGTACATGTTCATATGTTACTCTCATTACGCTATGTACCTACAGCTGGTGAAACACTACCATTAAAACTTAAAGACAGCTGTTGGCCTTTGAAATCTTTACTAGAATCAATTGTAACATTTTGTAAACAGTATTTGAGAACAAATGATTGATTATGATGGAGTCACACATGCTTTATCTAACTAAATACTTTTATTGTCCTTTTAAATTAAACACATCACACTTCAATAGGTCAGGATCTCGAACGGAGGCTTCAAGAGACTGGTACTGCCCAATAAATAGTCTGGCGTATAATCCCCTGTAAAATGGCAATATATTAATGTTACACTTTAATTAACAAACAATATAAAATGTGTCAGTGAGCTCTAGCTGTTGGGTGGATCTTGTGACCTTAAGACATGTTACCAGTTCAAGTGCTAAGCTAATCATCTGCTGATGGTAGTTTAGTATTTATTGTAAAAACCTGGGTGGTATCAATCTTTTAATCTGGAGGCAGATGCAAAAAACGGAATATAAATATACATTTGATCATTTATTTTTGTATTGTAATTGTTTCAAGATAGAGAAAAAGACAGCTGATCAGTTTTAATATCCATTTATTTCCTAGACTTTTCCTGATAGAAGATGTGAGGCCTGCACCGCGTCAAATCAAATGTAAATGCATTAGAAACGGTCTTTAACAGAACATAAAGCTTTCATCGTTCTTCTTTTTTGATGTCTGATTAATACAATGAGAAACACTCAGAAAGGACGCCATCATCGAGCCAGTAATTACATGGCCAGACAATATACAAAAAGCACATGGTGTGTACACAATGCTGGGACGAATAAAGACACTACGAAGTGCCATGCAATTGATGGAATGATGGGGCTTTGAGTAGGAGGCTTTTAACTTTTGAATGGTTTACAAAAGACCGCTAATGTCGTATTATACTTAATATAACCTTTAGTGGACCACTTGAGGAATTCTCAGTCTAAATCTTAGATGGCTTCAGAAACAAATTACTCAAATGTGGCCTTACTTTAAATTAAATATTTGTAATGGATAACACTGGTGTTGAATTCCTCGAAAAGTAAACGGTTTCTTTTTTAGAGCCTTTCCTATAAACACAAATGATGGGTCATCTAGTTAACTTGAGTATTGTACAAAATATGGTTCATAAATCAACAACTATCATATGAGTCATTGAACTGTTTTTGATCTTTCAAATTACAGACATCACATCATATAACACATCATATTATTTGCTAGTCGATCTCCCTAAATTTACCAGAGACTTGCTTTCAGTAGACTCCCTTAAATCAGCTTTTTTGACTTTGCAGCCGTGGCCAGAACCAGATTATTGCTCTTGAACATACTCCAGGTCTAATCTTCATGTAAGAGTTGTGGAGATTTGAGCTGAGGTTTTGCTCTTTGAGTGTGAGTTTAAATAATTGTGCTTTATGTGACATTTTAGTGTGTTAGCAACTGAAAAAAACAGTAATATTTATAAATAGTGTCTGGGCAGAATTGTTCATCCGTAAACCAATGACAAGTTTCCAGTTGCATGAGAGCAGGGTGACCCCACAGAGATATTAAATTATAATTAAAAAAAAGTGCTGAACAAACTTTTGATGCTATCAGAAGGGACAGCTTACCCAGATGAGACAAATCCGTTACTGACGTGTGAATGAAAAACTGTCCTCGGCATCAGTCATGTAGGAATGACTTGTGAACATGATTCCAACAAGACCCTAACAACCTATACCACGCTGTGCAAATACATATATAAGGAGATAGCATCTTGAGCTTTGGACCATTGAAGTGCTTTTTCTGTGTCCCGAGTGGGTGCAGGCAGACATTTCTGTCTAAATTAAAAGGGGGGCTATGCTTTTACATTTGGATTATATCAGCGCATGAATAATTCACACACCTCTAATCTATACAAATAAGCTGCCTGGTGACTGATGTGACAGCTGTAGTGTTGAAGTGATTATAATTCAGTGTGTGTCTCTTTGTGTGTATCCACGTTTATGAACAAAGTGGAAGGGAGAGAGGTATTTGTGTATAGCTGCCAGAGTGGTGAGTTTTTTAACTTTAGAAATACAGAACTTCGCCGGCACTGCTGGATCCGGGCCAATCCAAACAGGCCTGGATCACTGCTCTGACATGTCTGTGAGCTGTTAGCCTGCAGGTCGGCTCCACAGAGTGCATATTGCTCAGGAACAGACCAGCCTTTGTCATTAATTGGTCCCATACAGCAACAGCAGAGAGGCAGTGATGGATACCAGTATGTCTCATGTTTGACTGAGAGACGAATTATGGGTAATGTTTTATATCCATGTCCTTTTTATATAAACTTTAGGTATTGTCCTCATTTTATATCCAGCAGCTGCAGAAAGCATATGTTAATAGGTGCATTATGAAAGGTTTTATTAACCTAAAAAAAGGAGAAAAAAATGGATAGTAAAAGTTTAACAATAACAGACTAGATGAGTTAAACTTTGTAAATGAGTTTGTAACTATTATAAACACAAGCCTTTTTAAACTATTAAGGAGTATATCAAATATGAACTAGTTTATTGCAAGTGTTTAAAAAGGCCTTATAACAATGTGTTTATGATCCTGTAATTAAAACTTTTATAGTCTTATTTAAAAGCAATTTATACAAATAAGTAGAATTACTTTTTGTGGGAAGATTAGGAGTTATAAAGCCCCTAATATCTATTTACCCCTTATTTAAAGATCGTTATATAAAGAGTTACTGATGAAGTGATGGGACATTCTAGTTGCCAATGTCTGTTATTAGGAGCCACACATAAGGGGCCACACGTTACCCTTGACTTGATAGTTGACTGGTGTTGACTTGCTGTTTCTCTGCTGTAAAGGTGAACAGAGATCACATAGCTGGAATACCTCCTCTAGCTTCGCTTTGACGGACACTTTGTGAAATGATGAGGGATGTGAGGGGAGGAGGGGGAGAGCTGTTTTTAACACCTGCATCTCGCCTGCAAATATGTCTAAGCTGCCACAACACATTGTACACACCAATAATGTACTTACAATTCTGATTGTAAGAAGGCAGAGATGTAATTCTGAGACCACAAACTGAGTGATTGTATCTTGTTTTGTTTTTTTGCATTTGACTGAATACCAAATTTCAAAGCAATCAAACCAACTCAAAACCAAAAATGTTAATGTGGCCTTAAGTCAGGCACAAAACAAATATATGAGATCAGTGTCTTGCAACCATCAATGTTCATATCACAATATTTGTATCGCAACTGTACTAAGAGATGTTCAAGTAGACACTAGACAGTCTCACAAAAACCTATCCTCTGGACCCAGAATGATCAACCAAATGTCATGCTAATCAATTCAGTAGTTATAAATCTCCGTTCCTGGACATTACAGATCATTATCATTATTTTATTTAACAACAACCTCACCAAACCTTTGAATATGTGAGTTTTGATAAATCACTTTCCTGTTTTCCAGAGAAAATATGTGTTTTTTAATTTATTTAACCAGAAAAAAAAGCATTGAGATAAAATCTAATTTACAATGCTGACCTGGCCAAGAAGGCAGCAGCGTTACACATAACACATAAGACAAACATATAAAATACAGGGAACATAACTAAGAAAACAAAAGACGAAAAAGCAGTCACTGCATTGTGCACATTAGGACAGTAAGAAAGGTGCACTACTTATTACTGCAAGAGCAGCTGGTGGTAAGGACCTCAGACAACTTCAATTTAAAACATGCTATTGAGACAAGTGTCCTCAGTTTTAGGCGTGATTGAAGGTCATTCCAAGACCAAGGACCATAATAAAAAAGACTCCTTTTTCCAGCTTCAGTCCGCATGGCAAGTACCTGGAACCGTATCCAGGCACTGGATCTGAGGTTGTAAGAGTCACAAACTGGAGCAAATCTGGCACAAATATACAGTGGAAGCTTACCTAAAATTGCTTTATACATTATTAAAAACCAGTGCTGCATCCTACGCATAGTAAGTGAGGACCATCCAGTTAGGCTATACAGTTTTCAATGATGATTTGTGTAAAAGAGTGTCATCCTTTTCCAGGAAAGCTCTGAACTGTCTTGTTACCCATGTAGTGGATGTTTTGGAAAAGGCCTCTTATGGTCCATTCTGTTTGTAAGCCTTTTGACTGTATATGGTGCCGGCCAATGTAAAACCTAAACGAATGACCGACTGCTCACTGCTGATAGGCTCCTCTTCAGATCTGAAGATACAAAAGGATTATATCTAAGTGTCCTGCCTTATGACGCTGTATATACATATTATCGCATGTGTAAGTGCTTAGGACATACATATGGCATGTATGGTGCACTAAAGTGAGGAGAGAAAACACACTGACGATAAATGTGAGCCAAAAACTGTTTTTAGGACAGTGACTCTAGGATTTCATGGTCTTTCTTAAAGCAACTGGGAATATAACTCCTACCAGTGCAGGCATAAATACAGATGAACACTACTTAAAGGCTTTGAATTGTAGATTGATTGGTGTAGATGTACAGTGAAATAAATACACTTTGGAAGCCTTGATTGTTATTTTCGTTGCGCACAGTTTGTCCTGTCTGATGTCAGAGGGATGTCCTGGAATTTCAGGAGACCCCCACTAAACAATAGTACACAGAGTTAAGGGTTCACTTTTCATGAATGATTGGGGCTATCATATCGGTCCAGCCTCTCCAATTCAAATAAAGCTGTCTTTTGAATGTAGCTGCCTGCCACATGGATACATGGGCCTCAAACTCGTCAGTTAGTTTGTTTATTTATTGATCAAGACAAATACTGTAAATAAAAGGATGAGACAAACACAACTCAAACCAATAATTAATTTCAAAATGTTGTTAAAATTCACCTTTCATCTTTTTCTATCAGTTTTCAGTCTTTGCTCAGTAAGACAGCAGAGCTATCTTTACATATGTCTACTTAGAAAACTCGAATTAAATCAAATGATTTTTGACCTGTGGTTACGAGAACCTAAACGGACAGGTGCTTGAGTGGTTTATTGGTTCATGTAAGATCAATTATGGATTTCACATTTGGTGGCAAACAACCCTTCAGTACATCAGACATAAAGAGAGAAGCAGGATGAAACAAGGGAAACCGTTTGAGAGAGTCTGAAGATAGAGATCAGGGAGGGGAAAGTGGGAGAGAGCAGGAGGAGGGAGGCTGAGAGAGAAACAGAGGGGAGCAGTGAGGCAGGCGTTTCCTTTTCTGGTAGTTAAAGTCGCTGTAAGAACAAGCAGGAATTCTTTGTGCTGCAAAAGGGTTGAGATATAATCCAGACTGTAGATGTTGATATATGACGAGAGGGGAGACACCGCTGTTCACGGACTAAACTCCAGCTACTGCTAAGGTAAACCAACAGCAGACACTGTAGTGTTTTATGTTTTTCTGCCCATGTCATAAAGCTGTCTTGGGTGGTCCCCTATCCTTTGATGTGTCACTGATTTTGAAATGACTTCAGTATGGTTTTTCTTTATCTTGAGGGTTTGTTTCTTCAAATTAAAGCTGTGAAATGACCATGATGTGAACTGAGATTCATCTAATTGTTGTTGAATCCCAATATACAAAATAATTGCCATATGCATCAACTTTCAAGCATGTCTTTCTTCTTGTGAAACAATGATTATCATGATTGCAAAATAAATAAATTGATGAGTGATTTTTTTGACAGTCAGATTGTCCCAAATTCATCACCCATGATATCGTAAATGTGTCTTTCAGTGAGAAAGTGAAGATAATCTTCTTGGCATCATGGACAATGACTTTGACCGCCGCATGGAGCTGAGGAGGCAGAGAAGGGAGCAGATGCGCGTTGAGACCGACAAGTGAGTTATCCATCTAAGAGTGAATTTTGTGAAAATAAAAACATACAAAAGTACACATTAATAGACATGCAAACTGAAACAAAAAAGACTCAACATCTTGAATTAAGCCTCATCAGATTTTGGCAGTCTGACTTAAACCTGATACATTTGCAGCTTCAGGAAATTGGTTAAGAGTTTCAAAATACTTAAGAACTTTTTCCTCTAATCATGCAAAGTCAAGGAGATAGATTGAGGCTTACCGATTGTTGTTGAGTTTCGCATTTCTGCATGAGGGAGGGTGCCTGTGTGTCTCCACATGGAGCAGAACGTAGCAGACAGGATTGATTGGGCGATGACGCCTTAATGATCTCCCTTTTCACTCATCAGAGCCAGGCTGCTGTTTGATACTCCCCGCTGTCTCCCTCCCTCTCTCTCAGAGAAATATTAAAGTCCCGAAACAGATTTATTGCCGATCTCCACTCTGTGGGTGTAAAGTTGTAAGTTTGACTCTGTTAAGAGTATCTAATAAACGCATAAGAAGTTAAGAACACAAGGAAAATGACCTGCAAATATATGAAACTCTAAAAGAATGCAGGTACATGAGGAAAACTCAATCTGTGTGTCTTTAAAAGTTTCCCCAAATACAATTAAAGGTTTCATATTAACACGTGTTGGTACCGTACCTACCAGGATCTCAATTATCCTTTTTGTTTGAAATAATACTATTTTCATGAACTTTTTTAATTGAGAGACGGTTTGGTTTAGTCCTGTAATTGGATTTTTTTTTTTTAAATAAAGAATATCCTACATTTTTCGACTTTTAAGGGATTCAAGTAACACATAATTTTCTAGCCGTTCAGAAGTCACTTGCTGTCTTATCAAATGTCCTATCAGAGCTGCAGTGGAAAATAAGGCATTCCTTGCCATTTTCTCACAGTCCTGCAGCCAGCTCTGCCAACAGTGCCAACCCGGCTGCTCGAGGAAATGCTGCAGACACTGGAATGTTTTCAATGCCAATTTTATTTCAGCTTGAGATATTCTGAACACTTCAGACTCAAAGTTACAGAGAGTAAAGTTGTTAGCCAAGAAGCTGTCATTATATCAGTCCAAACCATTTATTATGTCTCATGAAAAGTAACTGCATTATTTTGACGGCTCTCTCGCAGCAGACCTCCAGCTTTAGGTGGAGTAATATCTATTTAAATTACTTCCTCAATGGTTTGCAGGGATTACCCATGCAATGCCAGGGAAACCATTGCCTGAGGATTTGTTGGATTTCTGCCTCGTTGGATTCTGTTTGAAAGACAGAAAGGACTCTTGTGTTTCTCACCACCTCTCCCTCCAACAACATCTGTAAATCATTGTGTTGTGGATTGAGGAAGAGCAGAGGGAAATAATACCCATGCTCTATCAATGGGCCATGTTACACTCTTTCCATGCCTCATAAAGCCTGGCAATGCTTTACGAGGAAATCTCACTGTGGGTCTGATCACAGTTTGAGGAAGGTCAATGGCAGGATATAAGCACATGAGCAGGATTTAAAGAAGATGACAGGAAGGTAAAGGGGTCATTCCTAGCATTCGGTGCCATTTCAGCTAGGGTATTAAAAAAACAACATAATTTTCCATGTTTTTTTAATTTAATCTGAATGATGGCTTGTTAAAGTATAAGAAAAATATTTTGGTCAAGCTCAGGATATTATGTTTAAAACATAACGTCTTTTTGTACCATCCCGTTACTGTGTGTCCACCCTGTTACTGTGAAAAATAGTAACGGTGGACATTTTATGCTAAACTTGGCTATTGCTACATGTGTGATGATAATCAAGCTAGCACTTGGTGACTGACAACAGAAACATATATTTGATAGATATATTCACCATATTTTCTAAATGTAAAACAAATGATCAGTTCCACTAAAAATGAGCATAACAGGGTGGACATGTTATGCTTTAACAGTTAAGTTCTTTAAAACATTAAAAAAACGTTGAAGGAAGAATGCATACACTCTGCTTCTTGTATCCTTCTTCTTCTTGAGTCATACAAATAGTAGAATAGTAAAGGGGCGTGTCCAGAGGGATTCAAATCAGAGTAACAGGGGGGACCAAACAAGGGACTCACACTTTATTTTCAATAAAAATGAATTAATAACAACAATTTCAATTTGGTGAGGAATATTAGCAAAAGGGTTATACAACAGTGACAAAAATGTAGAATTTGTTTGTATTTCTTTGATTTATTTTTGTATATCTGTTACAGAAGTTGAGCAAACATGATTGGGGACACAGCAATTTGGCCTACTTGTGCTAAAATCAGAGTAATTATTTAGAATTGTGAATATCCTGGCTGAATAACATTGTTGCTTTATGATAGAGGGTATACACATTTAAAACCAAGCTTTAAAAAAAACAAGCATTAGACCTTTTAAATATATGATATAATGTGGTGGGGACCTACATGGCACCGAATGCTAGACTTCTTTGTCTAATATTGGTGATTTTGTCATCATCAACCTTTATTTGCCAGCACTGTCTCTGTCTCTGATTACATGTCTTTCTTAAATTAATAAATGCCAAGGTGGTCTTTACTTTTAAGAGCTCTCAATTTTTTCGAGGTGACATTTTTTATCTCAGGTCTTATGAGGTAAGGACAGTGTGGCTCATATCGATCCAAACCTAAATGTGGGTGGTCTCTTTCACAGAGTCATGTCATGTGTATATTTTTTGATTGCTGTTCAGGTCTCTAAAATGTCTTAGAATGAATGATCTGACTTATATACACAAACATACGGAAGAGTATTAGGGCCACATAACAAATTTTTTTGTGAGGATTTGAAAAAAAATATTATTTTTTTTGTTCTGAGAAAAAAGTCAGAATTCTGACTTTAATCTCAGAATTCTGACTTTAATCTCAGAATTCTGACTTTTTCTCAGAAAAAAAAAACATTTTTTTTTTTGGGAGAAAAAAGTCAGAATTCTGACTTTAATCTCAGAATTCTGACTTTTTTCTCAGAAATACCGGTAACTGTAGAACCAGCTTCACTGCGATTTACACATTGCAGTAGGCAACAATGGAGGACGTGAGTGCATTTCTGCGCGCCAGAGGGGTCCAAGAGGAAACCATAATAAGTCATTTTACAACCATCTGCAATGTGTAAATCGCAGTGAAGCTGGTTCTACAGTTACCGGTATTTCTGACTTTTTTCTCCCAAATAAAATGTTTTTTTTTTGTTCTGAGAAAAAAGCCAGAATTCTGAGATTAAAGTCAGAATTCTGACTTTTTTTCTCCCAAAAAAAAAAATGTTTTTTTGTTCTGAGAAAAAAGTCAGAATTCTGAGAAAAAAGTCAGAATTCTGAGATTAAAGTCAGAATTCTGACTTTTTTCTCAGAACAAAAAAAATAATATTTTTTTTCAAATCCTCAAAAAAATGTTTTATGTGGCCCTAATCCTCTTCCGTACATTTCAGTTGTTTAATTTAAGAGGAAAAATATATATAAATGTGATATTTCAGGCCGGATTGCGCTAATGATGATGATGAGGAGGAAGCTCGGGAGCAAAGAAGACGAGCGAGAGAGGAGAGGAAGAAGGTGACGAAGGAGTCGGGAGGCCCTGAAGAAGTGATCGACACTAACAGGTAGCCTGATATGTGGACAAATGTCCTGGCTAGAAAGCAGATGAGGGACAGAAAGTGTATTTAAACTGTGTAGTGTGACGAACCAGGAAAAATAAAGGCAACATTTATAAGGCAGTTAACAAACTCTAAAACATAGCAGGATATTTTCTGTTGGAAAGGAGAGAGGTGTTGCCGGGTGGAGATTTCTGCCTCTGAGCTGGGTGGATTTACAGGTTGCTGCCCTCTGTACTTGATTATCCTCAGCTATGTTCAGAGCCGAGAGCCTGTTATAAAGGACTTACTGGGCAGAAATATATCCCAACAGTTTGGTGTGGCTGTTAAATGTAAACTATGTCACTTGACTTTATAGTATTAGTAATACATTGATATTTGACTGCAGCTTTGACAGATCTGCTGCCGCTACGCTACGTTAGCTGTACACACTGGTACACAACAGCGTTGCTAGCTAGCCATGCTAAACCAAGCATCCGTACAAAAAAAGCTGCTTAGTGCAGTGGTGAAAGTAGCAGCCTGATTAAGTGATTTTAACTTTATTAAAGTGATAATAGTGATAGTATAATTTTAAGTCATTTGTACTTTACTTGAATCATTAATGTTTATGCTACGTCACATTTCTACTCCACTACATGTTTAGGGGAGAGTGGGGTAAATTGAGCCATTTATTTGTTATGCTGTCCTCTAAGCAAGGAGAAATGACACATAGTAAAAATGAAAACACACATCTATAAGTCAGGATGTCTCCTATCAATGGCAATGATAATAATTAATATTTTATCAAGGGCAGTGAAAATATTACTTCTTAAAAAAAAAAGTCTTGTGGCTCAACTTGCCCCAGTGTAGGGGTAAGTTGATCCAGGTCAGGGGGTAAATTGAACAACTGTTCAAACCTGGGCATACCTACAACAAATCTTAAAGGTAACTATAAACTATAAATAACAAACCAAATACAAGCTTAGTTTTTCAAATATTTTTAATATACATTTCGATTGAATTGATTGATTTTTTTTTAACATGTTAAAAGGAAAAGTAATCATACAAATGGTGATACAATTTCATATCTTACCAATCAAACACAGGGTAAATTCAACTTTAAATGTAGCATACAATGAGCTCTTATTATCAACTTGGCCTACTTTCATTCATTTCTCCATTGAAAAACTGGCTCAACTTACCCCATGGCCCATGGTTCACTTTACCCCATAGCCACCATTTTAGAAAAAATAGCCTAGCATTAAAATTCAGTCATCTTTAGCTTAATGATTCACATGGTTTAATACGCTGCCAACACATCAACATATACAATATATGTGTTTGAACCTGGATACTTTTTTTTTTACATGACAGCCGATATAGCTGACATCTAGAACATTTACTTTGACAAGCAAAAAACGTTTTTTTGTAAAAATGTTTACTTACCAGACCACAATGAGCATCTCTCTTTCACAGGCAATGAGAAATGGGTGGAGCTTGCATAGTTTCTGGTCACGTGATTACAACTATAAGGTGTTGCCTGGTTACAGGGGGTGGTTCAATTTACCCACTGGCTCAACTTACCCCCTTCTCCCCTACACAAATATCGTTTATTTACTTTATAACTTGAATTCCTTTGCAGATTTAGATTTTTATACAGAATATAGTTAATCAATATATTGTGTTCTAGATACCCAGCACTTAATGCATTCATTATTCCATCCATCCATCTTCTCCCGCTTATCCGTGGTCGGGTCGCGGGGGTAGCAGTTCCAGCAGAGAGCCCCAAACTTTCCTTTCCCTGGCCACATCAACCAGCTCTGACTGGGGGATCCCAAGGCGCTCCCAGGCCAGCGAAGAGATATAATCCCTCCACCTGGTCCTAGGTCTACCCCTTGGTCTCTTCCCAGCTGGACGTGCCTTGAACACCTCCCTAGGGAGGCGCCCAGGTGGCATCCTAACTAGGTGCCCGAACCACCTCAACTTAACTGCATTCATTATTCAATATTATTTATTATTTCCATGATAATCAACAAACTCTGACAAATGAACAGCTTTAGAGTCAAGACAGAAAATATGAATATCCAATCATAGACTTGGCAAGTGGGTACACTTGATGAGACAGAACATTTGATACAAATCTGGATTTGCAGACTCAAATTTGTCTAAAGTTACATTCCCGGCTCCACTGTTTTCATCAATTTCAAGTGAATTTCCACTTCTTACAGTGTGACGGAGTCCTCCACCTCAGGCGATGCTGAAGGTGCAGACGATGCTGAAGGTGCAGACGATGACCAGGCTCTGCTGGAGCGCCTGGCCAAGAGGGAGGAGCGCCGGCAGAAGAGGATGAAGGAGGCCATGGAGAGACAGAAGGACTTCGACCCCACCATCAGCACCACCAACGGCACTGACAGCGCACCGGAGGAGGAAGAGGAGGAGAAACCAGCTGAAGGCAAGGTGGCAGACACTGATATGAACTCCTGGAGAAAAGAGGAAGAGGACAATCAGGAAGAGGAGACGGTAAAGTGAAAAATATGCAGATTTCAATTTGGTTTGGGTTGAGATTATTCTGGTTTCACTTATTTATTTATTTTCTAAACAGGAATCTGTTGAGGAATCAAGAACAGTGAGCATGGGAAATAAGGTAAGGTCTTTCTGCAACCTTCATTCTGTTGATTGAAATGCATTTATTGACATTTTACTTTATTTGATCAGAATCAGAAACGGGTTTATTGCCAGGTAGGTTCACACATACGAGGAATTTGACTTGATGTCATGTCGTGCATACATACTATATAAAACAAAACAAAAATCTTTAAGGACACTGTAATAAAATATAGTTAGATAGTAATAAAATAAAGCAGTAATTTACAGCGAAATGGAATGCAGTGAGTTATAGAATATGAAATAAGAAATATGTGCAGTAAGCAGTTTGAACATTGTGTGCATTAATGTAATGCATTATAGGAGGTGATTGAGGAGAAGGTTGCAGCAACAGAAGAAGAGGAGGAGCAGCCCGATTCAGGAAAGAAGGATGCTGAAGAGGAAGCTGTTCCTGATGTCGACAAAGAGGAAGAAGAAAGACAAAGGAAAGAAGAGGAAAGGGAGCAAATAGAGAAAGAAGAAAAGCTGAGGATAGAAGCGGAGGAAAGGCAAACCAGGGAAAGGGAGGAAACGCTCAAAAGAGAGGATGAGGAAAGGAAGAAGAGGGAAGAGGAGGGGAAACAACAAATAGAGATGGAAGAGATGCTGAGGAAGGAAGGAGAAGGAAAACAGAGAAAAGAGAAGGAGGATAAGATGAAGAAAGAAAAGGAGGAAAAACTAAAAAAGGAGATGGAGCAAAAAAATAAGAAAGAAGAGGAGGAGGAAAAACGCCAGAAAGAGCTGGAGGAGAAGAAGAAAAGGGAGGATGAGGAAAAGCAGAAGAAGAAAGAGCTGGAGGAGAAGAATAAGAAAGAAGAGGAGGAGAAGAGGAAAAAGGAGGCTGAAGAGAAGAAGAAGAAGAAAGAGGAGGTATTTATGACATTTTTTACATTTCATTTTCGTTTATTTGAACAGGGACAAATAAATGAACATTTCAAACAATTAATGCTCTTTAGGTCAGTGCCACTTCCATTGTTTTTGTTTCTAATCAAATCCAGCAGGCGGTTATGCCCTCAGTAGCCCATAATTGTGCACATATTGAGGCTATTGCTTCACAGATCAAATTACAATGTCTTAATAACAAAGTGCTGATCAGAGCTGGTTGTTTTTTACGCGTTCATGTTTCATTTAATCTAATCGTTTATTTGAACAGGGATAATACACATTAATGAACACTTAAGACAAATAATGCTTCAAGTGTAAATATGCCGGATTTTTAGCTTTGAGCTAATTTCCATCTGCAGTCCCTCACATACAACATATAAGAACATGACATTTATAAAGATAGCAACAAATAATAATAATAATAGATTTAATTTGTTAGCGCTTTTACAGGTGCTAAAAGACGCTTTACATATATAGTGAAGAGAAAATAAAATAAAGGAACAACAAATAAATATATAGTTAAAGTTAAAGTCAAATAATCCAAAAACAATCACACATTAAAAGCCAGATTGAAGAGGTGAGTTTTTGTGAGTTTTTTGAAGGTGGTGAGGTCAGTGCAGTCTCTGATGGGTTGTGGGAGTGAGTTCCAGAGGGAGGGGGCAGCGACGTAGAAGGCTCTGTCCCCCCAGGTCCGGTGATTGGTGCAGGTGGGGTTGGCTTCTGATGAGCGGAGGCAGCGGGAAGGGGTGTGGTGGTGCAGCAGGTCTGTGAGGTAGGGGGGGGGCCTGATTGTTGAGGGCTTTGTGAGTAATGAGGAGGACTTTGATTCTTTGACGGACGGGGAGCCAGTGGAGGTTCTGGAGGACGGGAGTGATGTGGTCTCGGGAGCGGGTGTGGGTGAGGAGGCGGGCAGCAGAGTTCTGGATATGTTGGAGTTTATTGAGGAGGTTGGATGGTATGCCGTAGAGGATGCTATTGCAGTAGTCGAGTCGTGATGTGATGAATGCATGAATCAGGGTTTCAGCAGCAGAGGAGGAGAGTGATGGGCGGAGACGAGCAATGTTTTTGAGGTGGAAAAAGGCGGTCCTGGTGATGTGATTGACGTGGTGGTTGAATTTGAGCTGACTGTCGAAGATGACTCCGAGGTTGCGGATGTGAGGGGGGGAGATAGAGTGTGGCTGTCAATGGTGAAGTTGAAATTCTGGATGTCTTTGATACGGGATGGGGGGCCGATGATGATGATGTCTGATTTGGCACTGTTCAGTTGGAGATAGTTTGTTTGCATCCATGCTTTTATTTCTGAGAGACAGTTGGTGAGAGTGGAGTGTGTTGTGGGGGTGATGGTTTTTGTTGAGATATAAAGTTGGATGTAATCGGCGTAGCAGTGAAATTGAAGGTTGTGGCGACGATTTATTTTGCCAAGGGGGAGCATGTAGAGGATGAAGAGGAGGGGGCCAAGCACCGAACCCTGGGGGACGCCTTGGGACAGAGGAGCAGTGGAGGAGGTGCAGTTGTTGATGTTGATAAACTGATGTCTGTCGGTGAGGTAGGATTTCAGCCAGGAGAGTGCAGTGTCTGTGATGTTGAGTGATGATTCGAGGAGGGACAGCAGGATGGCGTGGTTGATGGTGTCGAATGCTGCGGTGAGGTCAAGGAGGATGAGGATGTTCAGATTGCCGGAGTCAGAGGAGAGGAGGAGGTCGTTTGTGATTTTCAGAAGAGCTGTTTCGGTGCTGTGTTTTGATCGGAAACCGGATTGAAATGGCTCAAAGAGATCATTGGAGCTGAGGTGGGATTTAAGTTATGAGGCAACGACACGTTCAAGTATTTTTGACAGAAAGGGGAGATTTGAGATGGGCCGGAAGTTGGACATGATGTCAGGTGTGAGTCCAGGTCTTTTGAGAATGGGTGTGACAGCAGCCAGTTTGAGAGAGGGGGGAACTGATCCAGATCTGAGGGAGGAGTTAATGATGGTGGCGATGAGTTGGGAGATGGCAGGGAGGCTCTCTTTAACAAATTTGGAGGGCATTGGATCAAGTGTGCAGGTGGAGTTCATTCCAGTCATGAAGTCGGACAGTTGCATGGGGGTCACAGGGGAGAAGTGGGACAGGGGCCGTGAGGTGAAGGGGGGGAGCCAGGAGGGGAGGTGGGGGGTGCTGATGAGGGTGTCAGATTGCTGTAAATGTTGCTGATTTTAGTTTGGAAAAACGAGAGGAAGGAGTTGCACTGTTCGGTGGTGAAGGATGAGGTGGCGTTGTCACAGGGTTTGAGAAATTTGCTGATGGTGGAGAACAGACGCTTGGGGTTGCTTGAGCCAGACTGAATGAGTTGTGAGTAGTAATTAGACCGGGCTGCTTTGAGTGCATTACTGTACATATATATGTAAATAAATACATGATATGCAAAAAGGGCAAGAGCAGCATACACAAGTATTTATGACATGGCAGTACAATATAGCAGCAATGACATATAAAGTGCAAGAGAAGATAAAAGAGATACATAAAGTGCAAGAGGAGATACCCCTGTGTTAAAGTGCATTTAGCGGTGATTACACGTCTGTTTGTTTCTCAACCATTCTTTGAGTTGACCTTTAAAACTATTGAGAGTGGGACAATCCCGTATCTCAGTTGGGAGGCTATTCCACAATGATCTGCCTTTAATGGAAAGGACATTTTGTCCAAAGGTAGTCCGTCTGCGGTGGACTTCACAGTCTCCTCTGGTTTCTGTCCTAGTGCAGCGTCCAGTGTGTTTTTTGCGGATGAATTCCCCTAAGGGAGGGGGGGCAGTCCATGTAAACATTTATTAAAAAAAACACATACTTTTAAAAGACTTAAAATTGTCAAAACTCAAGAAATTGTGTTTTTCTTAACTTCAAAAACCTGGAAATAGTTGAATAAAAGCTTGAATGTTCCTGTTTTGAGTCCTAATGCTTTAGATTGGTCAACACTGAAGGCTCACAGTTGAAAGATATTTGCGGCATGATGTTATTTCTTAGTATACTCACAGATCACATGCATTGGATGGCTTGTTTGCTACATGATGTGAGTTTTTAAAATAATGTCCTCTCTCTGTTTTGAAGGAAGAGAAACCAAAGAAATTTGGATTTAAGGACAAGGTAAAATCATTTGTCATATTCATTCATTTGCAACTTTTCATCCTGGCAAATGTATTTATTTACATGTTGTAAATAATATGATCTGTTTACACACTAATATAGATATATTGTTTACTTCTCGGTTTTGACAGAACGAACCCGCCAAACTGAACACAGGACTCTTTGAGAATAAACTGAAGAAAACAGAGAAGAGCCGGCAAAACGAGGCGGAGAGCGAGGATCTGGAGAAGATGAAGCAGAAGACGCAGGGCGCAGAGGCAGCGCTGGAGGAGCTGAAGAAGAAGAGGGAGGACAGGAGGAAGATCATAGAGGAGGAGGACAAGCAGAAGAAACAGCAGCTGGAGGACAAGAAAGCCAAAGAACAGGTGAGGATGGATTTTACACATCATATCAGTGAAATACTCCACATTGGATACCATTTGGGTTGTGACCGAAACCTGTGTTTGTTGTTACAGGAAGAGAGGAAGAGGATGAAGGAGGAGATAGAGAAGAGGAGGGCAGAGGCTGCAGAGAAGAAGAAACAGAAGGAGGAAGAGTCTCCAAATCCTGTGTTTGCTATCACTCCCAAAGGCTCCTCAAAGGTGAGTTTGGGAAAGAAAGTCACTTCTAAATGCTTTGACTACAAAAAACACAATTGTATTTACTTCCATTTTTGATTGGGATGGAGTCAGACTTCTCTATACTTCCCAACACTGACATTTGGGGAAATACATTTATTTCAAATTATTGTTGATGAAAGAAAATATCTTTCTGAAATATTTTTTAAATATTCCATGAAGCTGTGCTTGTGTTCTTAGTTTATAGCATTTCAGTTCTCATTTATTTCCATCAATATGTCAGATATGTTGGTATTTCATATTGTTGTCTCCAAGTGTAACACGTTTTGGGGTCAAATGTGTTTTTTCTTCCATTGTTCCCATTTTAAATCCTCTAATATTACTCATGTAATGTTGGTTGACAAGTATAAAAGTGAACTGGCATCTTCGCTGTACTCCAATGTGGTTGTTTTTGTATGACTGGGTAATGTTCTTGCCGGGTCATTTCAGAGGAATGTTGAGAACTGTGTGTGTAAATCTACGAGCACACGGCAGGTATAATTCATTTTGACCAGCAGTTCTCAGTCGGTGTGCACTTGTGTATCCTGGCTCCCTCTCAAAGATCAGTCACTCAGGCTTTAAGTGAGCACAGAGAAATCTTCCCAGGGACAGACTGCTCTGCCTCTCAGTCAGAGCGTCTCAGAGACAGGAAGGATGCCAGGGCAGCTTGACCATGTCAGTATGTATTTGTGAACATCAACCAAAGACTGCTTTATAAACTGAAACCATGCTGTTCTGTACAGATCGGGGCAAAGGCAGAATTCTTGAGCAAATCAGCCCAGAAAAGGTGAGCCATACCTTTTCTGGCATATATTTTACAGTCAAATAAATAACTCATAAACAAGACACTTTTATTACTCCACACCAATGACCCATTTGTTTTTCATCCACACAGCACCACAGCCAGAGCGTCTCACTCTCCAATTGTGTCCAAGATCGGCAACAGAATGGAGCAGTACAACTCTGCCATCCAGGTGAGACTCATGATGCACTTTCCTCAGGACAGGAGTGCTTAGAGAAGTACTCAAAGCCTTAATTTAACTAAATACAACAGTGAAAATAGTCTATAACGTGAATTTGAAGGTGTCGTTTTATCAGCAAAATGTATCAAAGCATCAGAGGAAGTACTTGTTTTCCACATAAGAAAAGCCCACTGTAACTCTAGATACATGTATACTATAACATTATGACTGTATTTGACATCAGTGTGTTAGAAACCTTTCATTGCTGTAGTTGGTTGAGGTACAGTTGGTTTTAAGATCCGAGATGATTAATGAAATGAATTAAAAGGAAGAAACATAAACATTCCATCTTTTGTAATAGTTTAATAATTGAAATGACATAATTAGAAAACAGTTGAAAAGCAGACAGTTAGAAAGTGTAGAGAATAAATCTGTCTTTGGTTTAAATGATCATATTTCATAAGCATACATAAACACACAAACATAACAACGTTTTTGTATTTGTAATACTCAACAATGCATTTGTATTGTATAATCATGTTAATTGTTTAATGTAAAACCTTAATCTATACGGTTATAGTAACTAAAGATGTCAAAAAGTATTAAAGTACAATTGTCGTTCATTTCTCTTCAAAATAGTTGATAAGTATGAAGGAAGACAAAATGAAAAAACTCAAATACAAGCACATTCAAATTGTACTTAAATAAAGTTCTCGATTAAAAAGTTACTTTCCACCATTGACCCCCAGTCAATGTAGCAGTTGTCCTCATGTCAAAGTAGTAAAATCCATCCTCTACTTCCACAGGGAAACAAAGACGTGAAATCCCCCAAGTCTCCGATGGCAGATATTCCTACAGGAGGAGCTCGCAGCATGAAGAGCATGTGGGAGAAAGGAAACGTCGGGGGCTCCTCTGAAAGTCCAGCCCCCGCCAACAAAGTGAGAGAAAGACACCAAGAGGGGAGGACAGAGAGATTTACTGAAGTGTGAAGTGAGTAGTTGAAATGTCTCTTTTCCCCAGGATCTGGCTGGCATCAAAGGAGGCGTGACTGGACGTGTCAACAGTTGGATGGCAAAGCCTCCGGAGGCGGAGAAGACAGCAGCACCTGCACCTGCACCAGCAGCAGCAGCAGCAGCAAAGCCAGCCGTAAGGCCTCATAAATCCTCCTCTTTGCACGCACAGACACTCTATTGTGAATAAGACACCAGTGTTACTTCAAAAGAGTAATCCGTTGATATTCTGCACACGCTAATGTACTCATTTGCACATCAACAAGCCAATCTTTTGTTGGCTGCGGGCATTATATATATATCTGAGAAGTTTGCTGCCTGGAGTCTAGTGACACCACATGGACAGTTTCCTTCACAACATCTGCAACTAAAGCCCCAACTCTCTCTGTGTATTATTCTTGACATGATGTGAAAGTTTTAACACATGTATTTTAGCCTAAACATGTGGAAAATCATCGGGTAGAAGACTATTATACTCTTATTGTTGGACAGTCGAACTACAAAGTTGAACAGTGTGTGTGTGTGTGTGTGTGTGTGTGTGTGTGTGTGTGTGTGTGTGTGTGTGTGTGTGTGTGTGTGTGTGTGTGTGTGTGTGTGTGTGTGTGTGTGTGTGTGTGTGTGTGTGTGTGTTGTGTGTGTGTGTGTGTGTGTGTGTGTGTGTGTGGTGTGTGGTGTGTGTGTGTGTGTGTGTGTGTGTGTGTGTGTGTGTGTGTGTGTGTGTGTGTGTGTGTGTGTGTGTGTGTGTGTGTGTGTGTGTGTGTGTGTGTGTGTGTGTGTGTGGGGTTGCTGAATGCCAACATGCCTCCTTGCAATGCCATTTCTTCATCGCTCCATACGTCAATCACTTTATTATATTACAGCCGTTACAGACCAGACACCTACTTTTAAACAGTCCACTTTAGCTCAAAAACTATGTTTGAATCTCTCAGTCACTCCATGTTTAAAGTCTCCTTCAAGCAAGGGCAAATGGTCATACCCTTCATATTTTGTCCCACCCAAAGACATTGTGATGCTTCTTTTTTTTTACAACATTGACAAAACAACAAAAGTATATAGAATACGTTTGTTTTGTATTTTATGGCTTGGAAAAACAAACGATTCTTGTCCCTTGGCGGACACTGTGTCCCTTTCTTAAAGTAGGACACCAGCTGCTGATCCCACCAGGTCTTCTGGAGACATTATGTCCGCATGCAGGAGCATTGCTGAATGACGTGTGACATTGTTTTAACGTCAAATTTACGACCAAGATATCTCTAGTGTCAAACGTCTTGGCCAGCAGCAGAGAAGTGGTTGTAACCTTGGTGTCACTAATGCAGCAACACCTCCCCCTGATGGCGGGAAGCTGCACAGCAGACTGAAGACTTTCATCTGTTTTCTCTTTTCTCCTGCCTTTCTTTTCTCATTCATATTGCACAATTGTTTCTCAGCTTTCCTCACTGAAACTTCTCCTGCTGCGCTTTGCCTGCTCTTCAAACGGGTGAAGGTACCATTTTGCACACAGTTTACCATAAATACTACAAACCTTCAGCATTATAATAAAAACAAAACAAAAAGTAATAGTATAATTCTGAGGTTCTTAATTTGGATATTTATTCATTTGCACTCCACTATGTTTACTGAAAAGCTTTAACATACTTTGCAGATTCCGATTGCTTGTAACAAGAGTATTTCTACACTGTTGTGTTGGTGCTTAAGTAAAGGATATCGTGTTGGTTCTTTTTTGGGACAGGAAGTGAAACCAGGTGACATCGGTAACAAGCGTGGCATGTGGGAAACCAAGAAGAGTTCCACACCTGCAAAGGTAACACACTCACACACTCACACACTCACAGTCACCCTGTACTTTGAATAATTCGAGGTGTTAATGTTTTAAAGGCTTTACAGTGAAATGTTCCTGTGTTTGCTTTATTCAGTCCTCCAAATAGAAAGGTGAGTGAGCTAATTTCCCCATCTGTGGTGGCAAAACACAATGCACGTTCCACAGGCACAGAGTGGTTGATTTGTGTGGTGTTCTCATGGTGTTTCAACATGCATGAGAAGGTCAATGTTGCCAGATTGGTCAGTCGGTCAATAATAATAAGTCATCTTCTTTTTTTCTAACTTTGCAGGTAAAAACTGTTCTGATTTGGTTGTGTTGGATTACTGTCATTCATGAAACTGCACTGTGCACAGCTTTAGGACAACATTGTCATTGAGTGCATGTGCTTATGATTGAACACTGTGTTTGATGTTTCTCAATTCATTTCTTCATGCGAGAGTTTCTCACAGCATACAAAGAAACGTATCTGATACATGTGGAATACATCAAGCACATTTGACTGTTTTTTTAAATTGGGTTCCTTATAGCTTCAATTAAGTGAAAAAGCTGTTAATCCCAGAATAAATGGATTGATTTCTGACACCATCAACTGATAACATTAGGCAATACCAAATATTTGGTTTACAGAAGTTGTCGTGGCTTCCTTCCTTGTCTTTCCATCAAGCCACTCGACGCCTTAAACAGACAGTTCTAACTCGCTTCTTTCCTTTTCAATTACTCACAGTTTGAAGAGTTGCTTGGTTAGATGATGTTGCGATGTGTTTGCTCAAAATAAAATAACAAACTTGTGCACATGCAACAAAGAAAATAGGCCTTTACAATATTCAAAAGAAATAAGCAAAAATAAAATAATAAACAACTTAGGTATTCTTTCTTTCTTAATAATACTTATATAACTTCATAACTTAAAGGGTATTTGTAGGATTTGTACGTGTAGTACGTGTAGTACGTGTACGGTTAAAACTGTTCCTCGACGGCGTCTCTCAAACAGGTTGCCCATCACTGTGGCTTTAGTGCAGGCGCCGTGGGAATTGTAGTCCTTTTATAGTGCGTTGACTACAGACGTCACAATTAGGTGGCCTTTCTTATCAAATCTAAATACTGGCTCTAGTAGAAGTTGTTGACCTTTTCCCCTTTGTGTTTACAGCTGGCAGCTGGAGTCAAGAATAAGTTTGTCACCAATGGTAAGTTTCTGTATTTGTAAAATAAATGGTGTACACATACTATACAGTATAATGATATAACACTGAAAGAAACCATTCTACTGCATAATACATACATTAACTATGACACATTAAAGGAATAGTTTGATATGTTAAGAAACACTTGTTGACTTTCTGTCCAAGTTTAAATTAGAAGATCAATACCACACCCAGATGTGAGATTGGTGTCTCTTTCGGACAAGAAAGCAAATAAGCTTATGTACAATTTTGGAGGTATTTCACTAGTTTGTTCATATTTGGTTATTTCTATTTGTACTTAATGAAGAACCTGACAACTTCTTCCATCACAAACTGTTAATGTGCACATACTTCCTGTTAAACCAGGGTTTATTTTGATCAGTGCTGGAGGAAGCAGAGTTGAGATGAAATGGGAGGGGGTCGGGTCGTGACGGATTTATGTCCCGCTGTGGGCTCATAACCACCACAAGCCACCAACCTGCCTTTGCGCCAGAGTAGCTGCTCACTGTAAATCAAATCTGCTGCGGGGGATTTTTGGGCATAGGCTCAGCTCTGTGGCACTGAGGTCTATATTTAAAAAAAACCTTCACCCTGACCTTGTTTCCCAGTTTAAAGAACCTTCCAGACTCCTAGGATTGCTGTCGTGTCTTTGCCGTGCACTGTTCACCCGCTGCCACCTGGGCTGTCCAACGCTGCGTTGTTTGCGAGTTGTTAAACATACCAGAGTGCAGCTGCTTGATTTTCACATTACAACCGACTGCTCAGGAGGATTACTAACCGTTTAAGCAGCAAATCGGGCTCCATCACCTGGCTTATTCCCTCAGTGCTGGTGATAAAGACATCACATGTGCATCAAAAGGGCAACATCCCCTGGTGTTAGTAGGGTTAAGCTGTCTTTGTTCTTCGTGCTCAAAAGTCTCACTTCTTTTGACTTTAAGCACTCAAAGCTTTAGCCTGAGTGTGAACAATAGGAATGGAAAAGTGTTTGTCGAGTGTCAGCTCCCACCCTAAATAGCGATCCTTGTTTGTAACCTCTCCACTTCTTCATCTGAAATAGACCACTGAGGAATGAAGTAAAGGGCAAATGACAAAGTTATAGCTTTCAATCACACGGACAAGTGTCTGAGTAAGACTCTGATGTGCAAACACGTGCACATACAGCATATGCATGGCGAAGAATGGATGTAAGAGCATTTATTAACAGCCCTGACTAAGCCTATTCAACACCTCATAACATGTGAGAAGCAATGCAGTTTTAAATGAAACACTGACGTATGCATTTACTTACAGCTCTTTAATGTCTGTCTATTTCTCTCTTTCAGCAGGTGTAAGACCCTAACCATTTATATCAAGTCTCATCCGACCAAACACAAGGCTATGCAACTGTATGTGCATCCGTTTACCTTCGACAATCCTGCTTTCCGCATGAAGTTCACACCAAAATGAGGAAAAGACAAGAGACCAGGATGAGTGATTCCTGCATCAAAGACTCCAGAGACGTTTCCTCAAACATTTTTTACAAATGTTATCAGACTTCACTTGATTTGAACTCAGAAATTCCAAGAGGTTATAATTAGTAAGGGTTTTCAGGACAAAGAACCACATGTTAAACGCTTCTAGTAAATGGATTTTGTAGTATCCATTCTTTTAATCAATGTTACATACTTCAGATCGCTTTTAAGCCAGCTGATCTTATTGTCATGTATTGCCAATATAGCTCAAACTAAATCATAAGCAATTGTGTTTTATTGTCACTATTTTGACTCCATGTGATAACCAAGGCTGTTGAATGTTCATCTCACCGCTTGGGTTTGAGTATCCTTCCACTGATATGGATGTTTGATGATTAGCCTGTATTTAAGATAGTAATTTGTACCGCATGCTAATAAGGCAACTCTTATCAAGGGTTTATAAGTAGTAGCTAAAGACATCATTAATTATTGTCAGTACTGCTGATAATATCAGTCATGATAACAGAACAGGTTTTTGGGTTGCCAAGCTATGATGATTAACTAATGTTTTGGCCCTATGGATGCATGGCCTTGAAAACTATTACATGGATTGAATGTTCCCTAAGAATAGGTTGTATTGTCTTCCCCAACCTTGCATTTACTGCTATCACCAGCTAACTTTTTACACAACTTGAGTTTATGACCAAATACCTATTCCCATTAAAACTGTGCCGTAGGTTACTACTGTTTACTTCTGGACCAAAGTTCATTTAACAACAACAACAAGTTAACATTCAAAAGTTTGATTGATTATTGTTTTATATTTATAACTTCAGACTTGATGACTTACTGATAAATAAGAACCATTAGTAACACAGTGTATTGACCCTTATTTTAAAGAGTGCCTTATTATTATTAGATGGTACCAATACGTCTCCCACCTCAGCCCAGAAGATAATATTGCTACACAGTGTGCAAGCAGTTTAATGTTTCTGTCAACCACACTTGGGTTTGTTTGTTTACTTTTTTATGACTTGTGTTTGTATAAAAATCACAGTAATGTGTAACATGAGCACAAACAAAGTCTATGAATACGTGTGTAAGAGGATCTGCACCGTAACAACTATTCAGTGACCAAATGCAATTCTGCAGCTTTGCTTTTCCTACATGCCACTAACAGTTTATTAGCATTGGTTTGTAACAGTGATAAAGGTTTGTAAGACAATGGCAATATGCACTCTGCTTTAACAATGCCTGTAATGCCTTTAAACGGTACCCTGGTGTTCCTGTCAGTCAACCACACAATCCTACCAAAATCAATTGTCAGAGGTGGATGGCTTCATTCTAATGTTTGGAATAAATGTTTGTTCTTGCTTCAGCAATAAAAAAAAGATCAATAATAAAGCTTTATATAGTTCTGTTGCTTTGTTCTACTGATCCGAGGAATGTTGTTTCATGTCGCCTCTAAAAACTTGTGAAATTATTATGGAGTGTTGAAATATGTAACGCTGGTGAAAGCTTGAATGGAAAAGTGACATTTTTGGGAATGTGTGTGTGTGTGTGTGTGTGTGTGTGTGTGTGTGGTGTGTGTGTGTGTGTGTGGTGTGGTGTGTGTGTGTGTGTGTGTGTGTGTGTGTGTTGTGGTGGTGTGTGTGTGTGTGTGTGTGTGTGTGTGTGTGTGTGTGTGTGTGTGTGTGTGTGTGTGTGTGTGTGTGTGTGTGTGTGTGTGTGTGTGTGTGTGTGTGTGTGTGTGTGTGTGTGTGTGTGTGTGTGTGTGTGTGTGTGTGTGTGTGTGTGTGTGTGTGTGTGTGTGTGTGTGTGTGTGTGTGTGTGTGTGTGTGTGTGTGTGTGTGTGTGTGTGTGTGGTGTGTGTGTGTGTGTGTGTGTGTGTGTGTGTGTGTGTGTGTATGTGTGTGTGTGTGTGTGTGTGTGTGTGTGTGTGTGTGTGTGTGTGTGTGTGTGTGTGTGTGTGTGTGTGTGTGTGTGTGTGTTGTGTGTGTGTGTGTGTGTTGTGTGTGTGTGTGTGTGTGTGTGTGTGTGTGTGTGTGTGTGATGTCCGGTTGTCTAACAATAGACCCACCCACCATAGGGTGCTGCAGTCACATGAGTAAGGAGGCTGGACTATGTATCCTTGATGCTCAACCTGTTGGTGAAGCTCAAGGAGCCGAAGTCTGTCAACTCTGAGCTTTCTCTGTCTGGGTCACAGGTAAGGACTCTTATGTCAGTGCCGCTACTTAAATCAAAACCTTGTTTAGTCATACATCTTGAAATGTGTGTAAACTGTTTTTCTTAAGTTATTGTGCCAGCTAAGATCTTGAAGCCAAATGTACTTGCATTTAATGTCATCAATGTGGTTGAACTTCATCCATAACCACTCACTCATATGGTGACATGTATTTCTTCTCATTCATGTCTTCTGTTGATGCATATATTGGTATTTGTAACTACCTTAAACCACACTATGTAAATATTTGTAATAACCTTGGATGGAAAGTAACTAAGACAGTTTAACTGAACACTGCCCTAAAGGAGATTTGGGGTTGTGCTTTGCTGGATTTAGGTATTTTTTGCTTCTTCATATCTATAAATAACACTTTAAATATATAGATATACTATATCTGTAAAGTTGAAAACTGCTCTGACACAAAATAGATTACATATTTGAATATAAATAACTTAAGGAGGAAGGAAAAAAGTATATTAACTTGAATAAAAGTCGGATATTGTTCAATTATGGGTTACTTTATATGTCTAATAACTACAATCAGAGGGACATTTCTATATTGAGTATAAATGATGGACCTCACCTTTAACTTAATGAGTTTACATGCAAAACATGAGTTTCTAAAAAAGTAAACTAAAGCAGCATTTTACAGCTTGCACCATTTTTGATTCTCGAGTACATTTAGCTGATACTTATTGTAAGTATATTGTTTTGAATGCAGGACGTTTAATAGTAACAGCTTATTTTATTGTGACATCGCTTCTGTCGCAGATAAGAATACTTATTCCACTTCTGCCTCAGTGACCACAGATATTTGGGTCATAGTGAGCTGCGTTGCCATCTCATGCTCTGCTATGTTGTTTAATGATCTGTAATATTTGCCAGTCTTAAAATAGGCTAATAGGGATCCATTTTGCAGAGATCATCCATATCAAAATGTCTGACACAGAAGAAGTCATGGATGAAGAGGTTCTGTATGTACTCATTTTTGTACTTTCATCATATTCATGTTGAAATTGTTTTGTGTTTTCCAGTTTGTTTATTAATCCTTTTCTTATTCTTTTTGTCAATTCTTCTGCAGGGAGGAAGAAGGTAAGCACATTGAATCTGCCCATGTATTAAAGTTCTCATTTGATTTCCAAACGTTTGACTAATTATTACTTATGTTCCTTATCATTAGCACAAGAGGAGGCAACAGGTACGCAAACAGTTTGTTAATGACCTATTGAATAAGAACTCCCTTTTCACTTAACAATGTATTCATAATGTCTATAATTGTCTTTTCTTGTTTCAGATGAGTCAAAGCCAAAACCCAAGTAAGTGTCTGGCTCGTCTGTTGATGTAATCCCAATACGTAACACTTATATTATACAATAGATTATAGATTATACAATTACAAACTTTTCCCTTTCACAGGTTCATGCAAAACATTGCTGCCCCAAAGATCCCTGATGGTGACAAGGTGGATTTTGATGTAAGTGGATCTCATTTAATGCCTCATTTTTGATAGAAAACATCCATTTGGATCAGATCGACTGATTTATTTTGATTACACTTGTTTTGTGATGGCAGGACATCCACAGGAAGCGTCAGGAGAAGGATCTGTCTGAGCTGCAGTCTCTGATCGAGGCTCACTTCGTCCAGAGGAAGAAAGAGGAGGAGGATCTCATCGCCCTCGTTACCAGAATCGTGAGTGTCTTAATCAAAGAGGAGATATTGTATTCTGTTTGTTCAACGCACCATGACAGCGTATCTTTTCATTTCACAGGATAAACGTCGTGCTGAGAGAGCAGAGCAGCAGAGAGTCAGAGCAGAGAGGGAGAAGGAGAGGCAGGCCAGACTTGCGGTATGATCTCAGTGAACATTACTTCATATCCTCACACTTTAGGACATAAAAAATGTGACAGTATTTTCTCCTCCTTTCTCACTGTGCTGCATACAGGAGGAAAAAGAGAGGAGGGAGGAGGAGGAGCATCGCAAGAAGCATGATGCAGACGCCAATAAGAAGAAGGCCCTCTCAAACATGACTCACCAGTACAGTGCTGGGCAGAAGGTCATTCAACTTCCTTTTGCCTAGTGTTCAAATGTGAAACATGATGAACAGGGATGCAAAAGTACCCCAAAAAACCTACTTTGTTTGACTGAAAAATTACACGGATAGAAGTACCTAAGCTAACAAAATATGTACTACTATCTTATTTGTTAGCAGGAGACCACAATCCATTTAAATAGTCTAAAAACAACTCCACCACTGATGATTATGTATGCTTTTAAAAGGGTAAAAAAACTAAAATGAATCAACCTCCCATAGCAGCATCAATGTACGCTTCTTTCTTTCTGAGAATTTTAAAATAGTATAAGTAAAACTTGAGAAGTAATACTTTGATATTGCAGCTTATAGGCGAACAGTAGAGGGATATGTTATTGCAACGCTACATTATTCAAGTTCTTGCAATTCTGAGGTTTTACTTACAGTATTTCCAGTGGATGATATTTTAAACTTCTACTTCACTCAGACATACTTTTTACTAAATTGAGTCGACAGATTAAGGCAGTAGCCTACATACAGTACTTTGCAGATGTATTTGCCCAACACAATTTAAAAAAGTTCCAGTTTGTATTTTAGTTTCTGTTTGCAAGCAGGACCTTTATCATGTTTTATCACAACTTTTACTTAGGAAAAGGACATAGGTAATAATGGAGTAGTAATTTTACTTCTTTTTAAAAAAAAATCGATCCCTGTTTGGAAAATATGAATTTAAAAAACAATATTCCTTATTGTTACTTTCAGACTTATGTGTATTTCTGCTTTATGACGAACACAGGGTGAGACAAGAAAAGGAGGCAAGAAACAAACTGAGAGGGAGAAGAAGAAGAAGATCCTGGCTGACCGCAAGAAGGCTCTAATTGTTGATCATCTGAATGAGGACAAACTCAAGTAAGTCTAAACTGTGCAGTGTTTTAACTGACTTTACTCCATTCAAAAGGATTTAAAATATGCTCAAAATGGCCGTTTGTGTTTAGGGAGAAGGCCAACGAGATGTGGCAGTGGCTGATGGGACTGGAGGCTGAGAAGTTTGATCTCAGTGAAAAACTCAAAAGACAGAAGTACGACGTAAGTAATCCAGGGCAAAAACAAAATAATTTATGGATTTGGCAATGAGGGCCTCTGACAGGGCTATTCAATTAGTTTGTAATGGGGGCCGGTTGATGAAAATGATCCAAAGCAAGGGGCCGGGAAAAAGATGGCTTGAAATATGAGCAATCATATTAAGAGCTTCAGATACAGTAAATACTACAACAGCATAGTGGAATGCATATATTGTGTTTAATTCAATCAAACAACATCGCCCCAAGGCCTTTATAGATCTAAATGGCATGTTCAGAACTCAGTAGGCCTACAGCTGATTTAACCATCAACATCATTTCATTTCATCAAGGTGAAATGATCTAATCATTCACGCAGAGATGCAATCTACAGTAGTAGGTGGGTTCGAAACCCGAGCCCGCCGAAGTTTTAAGGCAATGTCTGCCCCTCTCTGGAATAAAAAAGTAGATGACTTTTTAACATTATTCTCTAAGGGCCAGTAAATATCACCCCGGGCCGGATTTGTCCCGCGGTCCGCCAATTGAATAGCCCTGCTCTATGAGAAAGAAAATAGGCAAACAAACACGGAACACATCTGAACACAACCATCGTTTAACGCCATATTTGACAAATAATCAGCAAAGTCTGGAGTTTGGAGAATATGATCAGGAGAAACAGTCCATGCTTTCAGGTGCTAGAGGTAACACAATTAAGTGGCTATGAAACGATAGATGTAAAGCTGCCCATGTTGGGTCAACAGAGGGCTTTCCTGTCCATGTTGACAACCTGTGCTGGACCTGTATGGTTACATACTGTATGTGTTTTTAAATAAAGCTTATGATTTATGTTCTTTCAGATCAACCAGCTTCTCGGTCGCGTCCAGGCTCACCAGAGGTAAGTACACAAACCCCCATCTCTTTCTTTCCATTGTGCTAATGTGTACTACCTTACACTTTACATTCACCCTATTGTTATTGCATGGAAGGAACAGAGGTCACTGAGTACAATCATGTATAAATCTCAATATAAAATATACACAGCCCTCACCATCATGCTGCATTACATAATGAACATACTCGCTAATTTTGCTCA